CAATCAGACTTACGAGGACAATATTACAATCAGACTTACGAGGACTGTATGTATGGAGCTAACATATCCTCTAGTACTGGACACAGGCCGTTGTCTTCTGATGTGTGGACAGACTCATCTGACTTGAACGACTTATCCTCACCTGGAACCTCGTCTATCATTTCCATGGTTACGTACTGACCATCTTTCAGTTTGCCACGCCGATAAACCCTTTCTGGTACATTATTGTCGTCATCTTATATAATAAAAAAACCCAGACATTATAGTGTATTTAATTTCGGGCAGGTGAGATAACAAGTCATAAAGGACCCAGACATGAGATCTTCGTTTGATCTTTGTCTGTTGATCTTTTCTGAGAAATGAAACGTAGACAGACTGAAAGACAGGGCCCCTATCATTTGATAAATATTTACTTCTCAAACGTTTGTTGTATTTGTGAACAAAATCTGAGGAATCATGAACAATAGAGATACAGTATGTATAAACAAAACATTAAAAAAGACCGGTATCAGATAATTATTATATTTTGTATGAAAATTGTTTCAGGAGATTGTAACTACAATACATGATAAAATACCTACTTCTGGGGCCTGACACCATCAGTCGTGCCACCTGTGTGTTCAGTCTGCTAGGGATCTGATCTGTAATGCGGTCAGAAGGCTTGCGAACAGTACCTGGGTGGACATGGATGGACGAATTGTTGCTATAAATTCCACTCCTTTTATCTGCAGTGAAAAAATGTCAAATCCTTTTTCAATGCATGACCTCTCTTTTGAGGCTTAAAATGATAAAACTTATTATTTCATAAATATTTTAAGTTTATGAAAGCTATCATTTTTATAAACAAGAGGCCTAAGGGGCTGAATAGCTCACTGCTATTGTTTGTTTTATATGAAACAGACAGATGGATTTGAAGAACATATATGACGACCTTGTTGTATGAATGTTAATTTTTGCATATCTGTTTGTTTTTCAGCATCTATGTATGACTTTTTTTATCCTTTTGTATTTGAAATGTAAGGAATAAATGTTGAATTATTCTCCAATTGTAAGCGCACACTTTAATCTCTCTATCTGAACATGCATACATTAAATCAGGTATTTTTAAGATAATCATTTTCCTATTATAATTTACCAAACATCTTGTCATAATTATTTTTTTTCCCTTGAACAAACTCTTATATAAGAAGGACCTAAGGATCCTCCAGGTCAAATTAAGTAAAATCCCTTAATCCTGATAATCAAGATGTAGGATTTATCCATATTTCCCCAACTGGGCCCCACACCTTTGTCCTCAAGACACCCTGTAGCTTTACAATTTCAGCAGCAGCTATGATAGACATACATATCCGGTAACCTACCTCTAGTTCCTCCCACATCTCCATCAAGCGAGTTCTGGATAAGTAAAAAATAAAGTTTCTTAGTACATTTTAACATTAGTCAGTTAAATCGTCATTCATCTATATTTGCTACACTAATCCTCACGGCTCCATGTCCCAAAGGGTAGGCCAATCCTGGTAGCCAGAGTGTTGTCTTTTCATGCAAAGCAAGTGTAGGAGTAGGGCCAGACCCCTGAGCTAATCATTGTGGCATGAATGTAATGGTCTATTCATGCCTAGAAATTTAATAAGAGGCCCAGGGGCCTTAATAGCTCACCTGGTATTTTATTT